ACCCCGTGTTACGCCCTTTAAACTCGGATTAATTATTTAATTAATTCCGTTAAAGAATAATTAAAAATGATTTAATTTAGTCAGGATCCCCTAATTAATTAATGTGGTCCACGGAGGATCGTGGACCGTTGTCTATGATAAAGCATCAAACCTGTTAAAACTAGGAAAGGAGGCCCATTATTAATTAGACTCTGATTAGGAATAAGGAAAGTAGGCCTATTGTTAATTAGACTTTGATTAGGATTCCTAAATCCTTATAAAAGGTATTAGAAAGCCTTTAGAACCTTTCCCTCCCACCTTCTCCTTCTCCCTACTCGAAAATCCCCTCCCAGAATTCAGACAAAGAATTTCCCGTCACCAAGCCTAGGAAAGATTGATAGGAAAGGGACCGTGTGGAAAGATCCTAGAAGACGTAAGAAGTTTAATTAAAGCTACCAGGTAACCCATGTCTCACAAAACCTATTTTCCTTGCTATCTTTTATTGATTGGCTCCCTTGAATGATTGTATGTGTGGTTTTGTGGTTATGCCTTGATAGAGCTTGTCTTTAGGATTTATGATGTGGATTCTTGTTATTCTTGATATTCTTGATGGTCTTGTGTGATTGTTTGCATGTTCTTGTATTTAATTATGTTTAGAGCTTGTCCTTAGGATTTATATTGTAAATCTTGTTGTCATGATGTCCTTGGCATTCTTGGGTGGGTTTATGCATGTTTGGGTGTTATTCAAGGTTTAGGGCTTGTCCTTAGGGCTTTGTATGTTGGTTTCTTGATGTTCTTGAGGTTCTTGATACTCTTGAACCATTATTTGTTTATCCTTGAGTCTTGGCATGTTTAGAGCTTGTGTTTAGGGTTCAAATATGTGGTCCGTCGAGTCATTCTATGTGTTCAAGTCCCTATAATTGTTGATGTGTGTTTTGGGTGGGTTTGGACTTGAATTTGGGCATAATTGATGAAGTCCTGAAGTGGGAAAATCCCCTTGGAGTGTTGTTCCAGCGGGTAGTCAGTGGGGGGTCGAACCCTCACCTGACCACCCGCTGGTCACGACGTGAGTTGTTCCCGGTGGGGGGTCGGCGGGTGGTCGTTCACCCGCCGTACCACTCGCTGGAACGTTGTTGGCGGTGGTCCGTCGGTCTCCGTTTGGTTGATCCCGTGCCCCGGTGGGTCTTCTTTGATGTTTGTGAGTCTAGCATGATGTCTTAAGTATCGTAATGTGAATTGTGAGTCGTGTCCTTGCGTGTGGCCCATACTTGTATCGTGTGGTGCCAGAGTATGATCTATAGTGGTCTTTGTGTGTCTTGTGGTCGCCTTAAGGGCGCTTGTTGTTGAGAGTCAATGTGCATAATGCGCCTTTCCCCGATTATCCCCTTGTGGAGTCGTTGTTGAGTCATGCCTGTGTGTTGTTGTCCATGATGAAAAGAAAAGAGATGTGATTGGTGGATAAAAACTATGATTAGAGGTTGATGCACTGCGCGTGCTTGTGTGTGATGGTACTGCGGTACCGGTGTGTGATTTAAAGGCATCGCGGATGCTATGGGATCGGTGATTATGTAGGAGGTCTTGTAGGCACCAGGGGGAGGGGGGGGGGGGTATGCGAAGTCCCGGATGGATAAGGCTGTGGAGTACAGGGTGGTCTGGAGGTACATGTTGGAATTGTTATAAGGTTGGAGAGGCATAAAGGTTGGAACTTGGTATAAAGTTGGAACATGAACATGTTTGTGTTACTCATTGTTATCGAGTCTTATTGTTGTCTTGCTTTGTGGTCTTAGCTGCATGCTGTGTCTTTATGTGTCTTGTCGTGTCGAGTCTATTGGTATGTCTTGAGTCTGATTCCTTGTTTTGAAGCTAAAGTCGCCTAGGGCTATATTATGTATTCACAAGTCTCAAAATGATTTCTTATATCTTTATGTATTGTACTCAACGCGTGGGAGTGGGTTGCTTAGCATTATTCGCTAACGGTTGTAATACCGCATGTTTTTCAGGTATGGATTAGTTGATCGAGAGTGCGCTAGAAGAAGCTGCGGTTCCTGGCTTAGTTAGTATTAGTTTAGTTAGTCGGCTTGTGAGCCATGCTTGTATTCGGATAATGTTTATGGATTATACTTTGTTTAGTTAATTTAGCCTGTGCATCTAGGTTCTCTAGCTTAGATGTGGCATAACACCCCAACTCTGATGTTTAGTTTTCGCTCTGTTTGGGTACTAATGATAGTCTTGCATTTGTTTCATAAGCTTTAATGGTTTTAATTTATGCCGAAAATTGGGGGTGTTACATAGATGGTGCACTAATTCAGCTTCATTGGATGAATTCCAACATCTAGAGGAAGTCCAGAGCCGTATGGAAGCCCAAGAGGATGCTTATCACATGTATGTCTCTCATCGTAAAATAAAAAGAATACTCTATCTAGACTTATGAATGATTGTGGGGATTGGGTGGAGGGGGAAGCTATGAAGAACATCATTCTGGAATATTTTGATAATATTTTTTGTTCTAGTAATCCTGTAAATGGAGATAGTTTGTTTGGAAACGTTATCCCACGGGTTACCCAGGCTCAGAATGAGTCGCTACTCCGGCCCTTTGAGATGAATGAGGTAAAAGATGCACTTTTTGCAATGTTTCCTGATAAGGCGCTTAGCCCAGATGGAATGAATTCGGGATTCTATCAGCACTTTTGGGATGTGGTGGGGGGATATTTAGAAATTTATGGTAAACTACCTGAATTCGCGCTCTTTTCCTTCTGGTTTGAATGATACGGATGTTGTGCTAATCGCAAAGAAAAATACCCATGAACTGGTGTCTGATCTTCGACCTATAGCCCTAAGTAATGTGGTCTATAGGGTTATGGCTAAAAGGATTACTCACAGAATGAAGCCTTTGATGGAAAATATCATATCTGACTCACAAAGTGTTTTTATACCTGATAGGCTTATCACAGATAATATCCTAATAGCTACAGAGGTTGGGCATTACTTGAATAGAAAATAGTGTGGGGTTGTTGGCTGGGGAGCCCTCAAATTGGATATGGCTAAGGCATATGACTGTATGGAGTGGCATTTTCTACGGGGAATGCTTTTGACTTTGGATTTTGATAATAAGTGGGTGATAAGCTTAATTTCTAGGCATTATTTAGAGTAATTTTAGTAAGTGATTTACATAAATAAATTAAGTTTTAGGGTCAATTATATTATAAATATTATATTTAGTTATAGAGAAAATACCAATTTTAGTCCCATGAGTATTAGGAAAATGACAATTTTAGTCCACATGTTTAGTTCCTACCAAAATTCATCCCACAACTATTATTTTACTACCAAAGTTAATCACTCCGGTCGCCGGAGATGTTAAAACACGCCGGAATTTTAAAAGAATAAGGGTATTATTGTCTTTTTCTCATTCTCCTCATTTTTCTATAATTAAAAACCCAAATAATATCCCTAAAATCCCAATTCGATCAGCGTGACCTAATCCTTTTTCTCCTTTGTTTTTTCCTTGTTCACCGATCACTTCACCCAGGCATCGCTTACCTTTGAAGAGAGCATTCAGATGGCCATCGAATCATAGTTCAACCCTGTAACAACAATCGGAGCTCTTAATTGTCCAAAGGTATAATCCTCATGAAACCATATTTGTCATCTCTATCCCGATTCAATCATCTCTGTCAAAGTATTGAGACTAAATTCTTTCTGGGATCAGGGTCTAAGAAGATATTCATTTTTTATGCTTGGTTTGAAAATTAATAATTTTGATGATTTTTTTTTTTTTGCAATATTCTGTGTATGAAAAATGCAAGGCATTAGATTGTCATGTTAATAATTTTGATGTTAGGTTCTTATTTTTGTAAGTTTGTGTATGGAAAACGCAAAGTAGAGGGTATTAAATACATAAAATGATGATTAAAAAAGTTATCTTGTGAGCTTGAGACATTAGATTGTCCTGTTAATTGCAATTTGCAAATAGTGTTTTTCATTCGTTAAACTTCAACTAAATGTATAGAGTTCATTATTTGTTAAGCTGTTAGGCAATCTTGATTTTCAGGTTAGCTTTTCTGCTTTGAAAGGCCATGGTGAACAGAAAAGGAAGAGAGGCAAGAGTGGTGGTGGCAGAGCCTCCAAGAAGATTGTGAGGGCCCTCTAAAAGCTACTAGAAGAAGTGTTGCCACTGCTGGAATTTTTAGGCTAGATTCCAAAATTGTTTTCTGTATATTTTGTTATTCTTTTGTTTTTTTTTTTTTTTTTGTTTTTTTTACAAAATTTTGTAATGATCATGAGACAACTTGTTCTTATTGGCTTTGTAAAGTAAACATGTATTAGATCGGTTATGAAGTTATATAAAATGACAGTGGTTTGAACAATTGACCAATTAAACATGTATTGTTTTGAGCATTTGTGAATTTAAATGATTGTGGTTGAGTTGTTAATGTAATGGTTTTTGTTTGTGTTGTAATGGTCTATGTATGTGTTGTAATGGTCTGTGTTGTTAATGGTATGTTCAGATTGTAAGACAACCACTCTTCAAAAACTGAGACCATAGTAGTGTTTGTGATACCATTCCTAGGAACCTAATTTGCTAATGGAACCAATGTTCAAATGGAATCTAATTTGCTTGCATATTCTTGTCATTTTGTCTGGGAATTCCCTATTTTTGGATATCATAACAGTCACTTTAGATATTGATGATATATAATAAGGAAGGATAAGGAACTTAAATTAATAGATGTTTTGACAGTACATTCATCATCATTCATCCCATGGACCATAGCTATTCACAATATGAAATAAATGAATGCATTAACTTATACTGCCATCTGACAGCAAAATTCACCAGTCACCACCATAAATTTAAAAAAATTCACTATAGAGATAGTCTTGCTTGAATAAGTATTTTGACCGCAAAAATCACAGCAGATATGATCCTATTTCAATTAGTATTTTGACAGCAAAATAACAATAGGTGGATTCAATAACAACAAAATTCACAATAGGTGGCTTGATCATATCCTTGTTCACTAATTATTTTGACTCCACTCTAGATCTTCCAGAGAAAATACAGTAGTTGGATCATATCCTGCTTCAATAAGTATGTTGTTCTCTTCTTGTGCTTCAATAGTAGGATTGACTCCATCTTCAGTAGGTGGCAATTCCACCTGCACATGCACTGGATCCCCAACTTTTTTTCTTGGCTTCATCTAACCCAAAGGGAAACAAAAAACATGTGAATGAGGGAAATTATGATAATTAACCCAAAAAAAAAAAAAAAACAGAATAAGTATCAAACCTGTTTTTCCTTGCTTTGTGTGTTTAGAGGACATCTTCTAGAGTTGTGCCCGGATTGTCTACACTTGCTACAATGCAATTTTATCCAAGTTCTTGCCACATGCTCTCCATCATTGGTTATCTCATCAGTAGAACTTTTCCTCAATTTCTTTGGTCTGCCAGGTTTAGCTTTATAAACAGGGGGTAAAGGTGGAGCTGTATCAACCACTGGCCATTCACTTACACCTGCCATAGGATGAATTAATCCTTCATAGATTTGTAAATATCTTGCCTTTGTATAACAAGGATTGACATAGGCATAAACATGACCTTCCCCATGCTTCATCCAAATGGCACAAATGGCATGTTTGCAAGGCAATCCGGTTAAATCCCATCTTCTACAAGTACAAGATCTTAGTTCCAAATTCACAGACTGTTGGTCTCCATAAAAACCTTGTATCTCAAACTCATGTAGACCACACTGAAATCCTCCATACCTAGCAGCTTGCTTCTCATTAACCTGCAACTTTTCTAGCACTCTAGGACAAATTTCAGAACTCCATTCTTTAGCTTTATGATAAGAATCAAAAAACCTAGTCATCAATAAATGCCTCATACCATCTAGGCAAGCAATTATAGGTTTTCCTCTAACTGCCAATATAATAGAATTAAAGCACTCAGAAATATTGTTTACAAGCATGTCAGATTGTGGAGTGCATGAGAAGTGAGACCTTGACCACTCTCTTGGGTGCTTGTCATTTAACCACTCCCATGCCTTAACATCTAAGTCCCTTAACTCTCTCATAGCTGCTGTGAATGTAGGTACAGTACATGACCTAGCACATTTCCACATAACATCTTTAATTGCCTAACCTTGAAATCCAGCAACTTTCATATTCCCATGTAGATGTCGTACACAAAATCTGTGTTCAGATCTAGGTAGTTTATCTTCAAAAGCTTCCAGTAAACCCTTCTGTTTGTCAGATATGAAAGTGAACTCTTCTTCATTGTGGTCTCCAATTGATAAATCTGTCTTTAAAAATTCTAAAAACCAACACCAAGATTGTTTTGTTTCACCCTCCACTATTGCATATGCCAATGGGAAAATACTATCATTGCCATCTATTCCAATTGCAATAAGCATTTGGCCTCTTGTGGCTGACTTAAGGTGACAACCATCAACACCTATTATTGGCCTACATAATTGGAAACCTTTTTTACAAGCTTCCCAACACATATATAACCTCAAAAACCTGCTATGTCCACTCATATCTGTTAAATCACTCAATTTAACATAACATTTGGACATGGAATTTGTTCTGTCGATTTCTGCCACATAACCCCATAGCTTTTTGAAATTTTCTTCTTCATCACCTTGGATCTTTTTCTTTGCTTTTTCCATAGCTCTCCAAACTTGCCTATCACTCATATCAAACCTTTCAGCTGTACAAACTTTGTCCTTGAAATTCACCATTTTCCAATCCAAATGATGTTGAACTTCCTTGGTCCATCTCCTAGCAACAATGCTTGATTTGACCATCTTGTTCTTATAAACCCATGAACATCCATCATGTATATCTCTCATGCCTAATATTCTCCATGATTCACATTTAGGATCTTTTCTAAGGTTGATTCTCCATGGACACGCATTGTGTTTGCACTCTACAATATACCTAATTTTGTCATTCCTTACAAACTTCAACTCTTTCCCATTTTTAAAAGCATAGTTTAACACTGCTTCTTTGAATTCTTTTTTACTACCAAAAGTCATGCCTAGAGTAAATTTAGGATTTTTCATGTCTGTGTTTGCCCTAAAGTTACTCCACTTAGAGACTGAAGCATCACTATCAAACTCATTTATTGACGCATCATCAGACAAGTTTGGACAATCATTAAGATTAGGCCCATTAAAACCAGTTTTTCCTATTGCTTCTGCCTCTATAATTGCTTCCTTTTTTTCATCACCTAGCCCCACATATTCAACATTGAGATCCACGTTATTATCAAATTCAAAGTCATCAATAACATCAACGTACTCATCCCCCACATATTCACTTTCACTTTCACTGTCATTTTTCTCAATATCTTCACCTGTACAATTAAGCATAAATTGACCACATTCAATAAAAATAATATGCAAAATAGTACTTCCAATATATTGGTCCCCACAATGTGAATACTTTAACATAAACAATAAAGCACATTAAACCCATTAATTTATAGAATGGCCAATACTTGCATATGAAAACACAATACTGCAAAACACATTATGAATATAATACTTTACAGAATAAAATAAAACACAGTCCAATACTTTAAACACAACCAACTCAAATCCAATTTGTTCTACTCACAAAACCAAACTCAAAACCCAATTTGTTTTACTTGAAACACTCAATGCGAAGGAGACTAACCATACTCTTTTGTCGATTGCTCACTTTCTTCCCTCGGACAATCCATGGTTAATTTTAAAACCCACTTCTGATCCTCGTCCTTGCTTCAATTGTAGTTCCTGTCGAATTGTTAAGTGTAAAGGTTCATAGACATGCTGCAGAAATTGGGGTCGCAATTCGCTAGTTGATTAGGGATGGAAGAAGGATTAAGGATTAGGGTAAGTTTAATAATAGCAATAATGGCAATTTAGTAAATATTTTGATCTTAATGATAAAAGGACAAAAGTATCCTTATTTTTAAAAAGATTCGGCGTGTTTTAACATCTCCGGTGACCGGAGTGATTAACTTTGGTAGTAAAACAATAGTTGTGGGATGAGTTTTGGTAGGAATTAAACATGTGGACTAAAATTGTCATTTTGTTAATACTCGTGGGATGAAAATTGGTATTTGCTCTTTAGTTATATGTTATTAGTTTAGACTAGTTTAGATGGGTTTTAATAAATATTAGGCTAATGTTGCATTTTTATTAATATAAATAGGAGTTTTATTTTTAGCTATAGGATTAAATTTATTTAGTAGTTTTATTTCTTTAATTTTAAATAAGTGCTTTAATAATTAGATTTTATTAGGTTGTGTCATTAGGTTATTATAATTATAATTATTATTAATTTATTTAATTTTCTTTTGCTTTGGAGGGGTTTTGCGCAGCAGCCAGAGAAAGAAAAGGACGAAGAGAAAAAACTCATTTTGAATTGCTTTTGTTTTACTCCCTCCGTCCCATTTTATCTGTCTTACTTTTCTTTTTTGTCTGTCCCAAAATATTGTCTACTTTCCAAAAATAAACATCAATATTTAATTATTTTTCAATTTTGCCCTTTCAGATTTTATCACACTTGGTACCTAATATCAACAGGTGTCCATCCTGTCATCCACTCAATATTTTAATTAGACATAGTCCACAGCTGTCATCCACTATATCAAAACTAGTAAACATTTCATTTTAATGAAACAAGCTGAATCCCATATCTTCACCGCTCTCTTCTTTTGGTTCTTCTTCCTTTTCTTTAGTAGCCGGAGAAGCAGCTGTGGGGTAGCACCATCGGCAGTGGGAGCTGCAACAATGCCGCCACCAGCGCCCACGTTAAGATCATGATAAGATCCTAGAAATTCCTCTTTCTCACCGTGCTTTGCAAAGAGATTGAGCTAGTATGACTCCATGGAAACATTGGCCTCCTTCACTAATGTAGCAGTCTTCACCATCTCTCAAATAGACGTTGCCATCCCAATCTCCGATCAATTTCATCAAGTTTAAGATTTTTATAACTCCATCTATTTCTTAACACCACTAGTTTTTGTCTTTTTTTTTTCCTAAATCTTTTTAAGTATTAAGTTCATTTATTTTAGTATAATTACTAGTGTATAAAGAACTAAAAGAAGAATGAAAGATACAGAAGGTATATGGGATTTGTTGGAGAAAGATGAAGAAATGGGTTTGTTGAAGAAAGATGAATAAATGTACAGATGAGGAAAAGAATGACGAAGAAATGCATTGTAGCAAAATTGTCAGTAAGGGCAAAAGAGGAAAGGGAGTGACTCTGTTTAACCTTCTTAAAATCCGTGCCAAAAGTAAATCAGACATACATTACGGGACTGAGGGAGTATTATTTTGGGTACGGCAGAGAACACAGTAGATAAAAACGGACAACAGGGAACCGACGGAAAGAGGAAGAAAGTCTGGGTGCGACGACGCGACGTACGTAGCAGCGGCAACGGAGCTTCAATCGCGGCTATCTTCTTCTTAAGCTTGAATTATTTTCCTTCGTCTCTACTTTTATTCTTGCTTAAATTTCCAGAATACTATTTATTAAACAATTTATGTATTTAATTATGATTCTTGGCTAGAACTTTTAATTAGGGATTTGGATTAACCTATATTAGATTAATTGATTATTCTTCATGATGTGTTGATTTTTCTAATTTCAGTTGAACAATTGAACTTGATTATATTTATTTTATGTACTTTAATTGTGGATTGTGTGACTGGCCATTGCATAATTCTAATATTAGGGTTCATAAGAAGAACTGACAGGTGAATTATTAACCTAGAACTCGTAAGATAAACATAATTGACCTAAACTATACATAGCTTTAGGTATTTGTGGTGATATTTGATTATTGCTTAATGGGTTCAATTAATGTTGGTGAGATATCGACAGATGATCACAGTTAATTGGATACAACTTAGTAACTCGACGGAGTATTAGGATATATATGGAGCAATTGTCACTATAATCATAAGAATCAATACTTAGGAGAGTTAGTTAATTATCTAAGAGGTGAACCCCAAATCCCTAGTCTTTTCTCAATTGAAAGTTTTCCTTTGCTTTAAATTCATAAATATTCTATTTAATTACATTAATTGTATTTATTTGCATCTTTCTTTATCAAAAAATTGATTATTTAAGTTAACAGTCAATAGGGTTCTTCGTGGGATCGACCCTGGAATACTCCAGGAATTTATACTGTGATTGACTCTGTGCGCTTGCAGATTATAACAATCAAGTTTTTGGCGCCCACTTTATTAAAATGTTCTCTTTAAGTTTTTCATTTTGAATTTATTTTTGTTGTTAGGTTCATTATCATTTTATTTTTATTTGTTTTTCTATTTTTATTTTGTTTGTTTATGAACTTAAGGCGATAAAAAAGGCATAAGAACGTTGAATTATTTCCTATTGATCTTGAAATTGAGCGTACTTGCAGAAAAAATAGGGTACGAAGGCGGCTTGAAATGACTGAAAACAATAGAGTGGGTCAACAGGATGACCTCGTACCACCAATATAATAGTTCCACCTCCTCACAATCAAGCAGCTCAACCACATATTCGAAACATCCAAAGACCGGTAATAGCTGTTAATCCCTCTTGTATTCAATTATCTTATGCAGCTAGAAATTATGAACTGAAGACTTTCCATCTGAATATGCTTCCTACCTTTAACGGTTTGGGAAGTGAAGATGCTTTGGGTTTCATGCGTGAGCTCTATAGTACGGTACAAACTTTACCTTTGAATAATTTATCTGAAGAAGAGCTTAGAATGAAATGTTTTCCATATTGCATGAGGGGTGATGCTAGGCAGTGGTTGTTAAACTTACCAGAGGGTTCTTTAAGAGCTTGGGATGATGTTTACAATGCTTTCATGTTTAAATATTATTCATCTCAAAAGACAATGGACTATAGGAGTAGGATATGCACTTTTACTCAAAGAGAGGGGGAGTTATTTCATGAAGCATGGGATCGTTTTAAATTGCTTTTGACCCAATGTACACACCATCAATTCCCACTGTTATTGTTGACACAATTCTTTTGTGATGGTTTAACTCCTAATTGTCAGTCTCTTGTAGATACTGCAAGTGGATACACAGGTGATAAAAATAGTGATGAATTAGAAGCTATCTATGAGAACTTAGTTAGTAATTCTCGACAAAAGGCAGTGAGAGGTCGAAGAGCTGCTGTGCATGAAATTAGCACACAATCTGAGTTGACACTACTACAGAAAACGGTTTTAACGTCAACATTTTAACGTCGGATTTTCTAAAATCCGATGTTAAATATTTAAAATTATTATTATTATTTTTTTAATACATATGACGTCGGTTATAACAAATAACCGACGTCATATATAATCAAAATTAAAAAAAAAGTAAAATAATTACGACTTCGGCCGACTTAATTGACCGACGTCGTAAACTAATTTTTTTTTAAAAAATGAAATTTAAATAACATACGACGTCGGCTAATTAATTAGCGACGTCGTAAGCTATTTAAATAAAAAAATATGAATTAAAATAAGATACGGCGTCGGCTAATTAAAAAAGCCGACGCCGTATTCTATTTAAATAAAAAAAAATTATTATTATAATACATACGGCGTCGGCTGATTACGTAGCCGACGCGGTATGCTTAATATAAAAAAGAAATAAATTAAATAATTACTATACGACGTCGGCTAATTAAAACGCCGATGCCGTATTGTATTAAAATAAAAAAAAAAAGAAATTATTATAATACATTCGGCGTCGGTTTATTATAAAACCGACGCCGTATGTGCCGTACCTATTTTACAGCCAAATAAAAAAAATTTACACTCAGCATTTCATTTCTCACCAAATCTCACCGCATCACACTTCCCCTTCATCTTCATCTTCATCTTCACCACCGTTTGCCCGCCGTTCGCCTCACCGCTGCACCGCCACGCAGCTGCACCTCCTCTTCGCCGCTGCTCAGATCCAACGCCCTCCTCTCCGCCCGCTGCTCAGATCGGACGCCATTCTCTCCGCCGCTGCTCAGATCGGACGCCGGGGACGCCGTGACGCCGGTCGCTCTCTCCTTCGACTCTCCACGCTGGTACGTACTATGTATATATTTATTTATTTATTTTTATTTTTATTATTTAATTAGTTTTTTATATATTTTAAAATTTTTAAAAGAATTCTGCTATATTTAAACATCAATTGGATCTTTCATGCTCCAACAAACATCAGTAAGATGGTTTAATTTCCCTCAGTCATTTAATATGTTGGAATTGGTTTTTTTAAAAGATTTGTGATCTCCAACATATTTGTATTGAAATCTTGTTTGTTTGGTTTGATATTGTGCTATCTTATGGTTGGTGTCCCCTATGGCCCTATATTATATCATTGCATACATAAAACTTGAGTTTCCAGTTAAAGAAAGAGGGTTGGGTTGTTTTGAAATTGGTGTTAAAGTTGGGTGTAATACCAGTGGCTCTATATTTACATTCATTAGAGTGTGGTTACTGAGTTGTGAAAGAAGTTGAATTATATTGTCACTAATTTGGCATATTTGTTCTGTAATTATAGGATCTTGCTCTATTTGGAATATACTCTTAGGAACGTATTGGGTTAGAAGAAATCTTTTAAAGCATTACACATTCATTTAATATTGCATTTATTATATGCTCTGATTTTCAAGTGAACTGTGTGTAGAGTTTTAGTAAGGATTAAAAGCTCTAATGGGTAGTTATTCTTTTTTTATGGCTATCTGTTAATTAGTATATATTTATAAACTTTTTCTGTGGGAAATCTCCAATTTGCTTCATTATAATATTTAGCAACTAAGCAAAAAAACTAATTTTTTTCCCCTAAAATTTTCCCAAGTTTTGCCTCAGATGGGAATTGCTTTGATCTTGTGTATGCCTTAGAAATTGTTTATCATATCTATGCCTAAAAGCTCAATTTATTTATAGTGAAATGGCTATGACAAAAGGGAATCTACCTATAAAATAAAATATTGATCCTAATAAAACAATAAAATAAAGCTTGATTCATGGGTTAGAATTCCTTGATAAAATCATTAGTTAATTGAGTCCCAACTATTAGAATCATCTATTATTTTGGTTTGATTCACTTGGTCATGGGCCGCGTGAAGACATTAAACATATAATGGAAACGTATATAAATTTATATAATTAATTAGTAGTTATCATTAAACTAGTGATGCCAAGTATTTATATATATTCTATGTCTTATATTAATAGGTGTATGACTGCAACAAACATGATGAGTAGAAAGAAACAAAATCGTCCACCAAAATGGTTCGGTAAGTACTTCATTCACTTTGTAAAACATGCAAACTTATTGTTTTTTTTTATTAATTTATTTTAATTTTATTGTAATTCAATGTAGTGTGCTATACAAAAGGGAACCACCGAATGTGGTTATTATGTGATGAAGTTCATGTTGAAAATTGTTTCCAATAACCTAAGCAAAGGAATTGATAAGGCAAGTAATTTCATAATATATCTTTTTGCTTCAAATGTTTAAAAATACTTGCTTATTTATTAATTTAATTTCTTTTGAACTTTGTAGGCTTTGGAAAGACAAGGAAGATTGCCCTACAACAAAAAAGAGATTGATGAAGTTAGAGACAAATGGTCTAAGTTTCTTATTGATGAATGAGTTAATAAAATGCTTCTTAGTTGATACTTTACGTTTAAAATTAGTTTATGTTTATTGGCTTAATGTTTAGTAGTTTTGTTGAATTGTGGTACTTATATTAGTTTTATGTTTAGTAGGTTGAATTAGCTTAATGAATTGTGTTCTTTATATTAGTTTCATGTTTAATAGCTTGATACTTTACGTTTAAAATTAATTTATGTTTATTGGCTTAATATTTAGTAGTTTTGTTGAATTGTGGTACTTATATTAGTTTTATGTTTAGTAGCTTGAATTAGCTTTTAATGAATTGTGTTCTTTATATTAGTTTCATGTTTAATAGTTTGAATTAGTTTAATAAATTAGTTGATGTTGAATGTTGAATGTTAAATTGCTAGCTGCGCAGGATTTGAAAATTGATACAGGTTGGATAAAAACCATAAAACGAATATAATAATAAAAAAATAATAATAACATACGACGTCGGCTTTTAGGGTAAAGCCGACGTCGTATAGTTTTTTTTTTTAAAATAAATATATACAGCGTCGGTTTTTAGGTAAACGCCGACGCCGTATGTTAATTATTTTTTTTTTTAAAAAATAATAAATATATACGGCGTCGGCTTTTACCTAAAAACCGATGCCGTAGGTTAATTATTTTTTTTTTTTAAAAAAAATATAAATACTATACGACGTCGGTTTTACCCTAAAAGCCGACGTCGTATGTAAATTATTATTATTTTTAAAAAATATATATATATACGGCGTCGGCTTTTACTTAAAACCCGACGCCGTATGTTACATACGACGTCGGTTGTTTAACCGACGTTGTATCATTTACTTACGACGTCTCTAAAGTCGACGTCGAAAGATAACCGACGTTAAATGGGGTATTTTAACCGACGTTAAAACCATTTTCTGTAGTAGTGTGACAACACAAGTGGCTGAATTGACTAAACAGATTAACTTGTTGATGACTCGTGATAGTTCGAATAGAAAATTTTGTGCTTATTACAATACATATGGTCATAATTCTTCTATTTGTATGAATGCAGAGTCATTGCAACCATCTTATGAAGAGGCCAATTACATGGGATCTAACATGGGTAGGCAACCACCAAGAAATGATTCATTTTCCCATACATATAATCCAGGTTGGCGAAATCACCCTAACTTCTCATAGAGAGATCAAGGTAATGCAAGACCAATGGGATCACCTGGATTCCAACAACAAAGACCATCAGGATTCCAGCATAAACAATACAGACCTTTCCAGCAGGCACCTGCACCACAACAGCCTCAACTTCCTACTCAGGAGAAGAAGCCTTAACTGGAAGAGATGTTCATGCAATACATGGCTAGCCAAGACACTATGATGAAGAAAATAGATGCAAAAATTGATAAGGTTGCTCAGTTTAGCCAAGCATCCATTCATAATTTAGAGGTGCAAGTAGGTCAGTTGGCTAAATTGGTTGCAGAAAAAGATCGGGGTAAGTTTCCTAGTACCACTAAAATAAACCCTAGGGAAGGAGCTATAGTTGTCACTTTGAGAAGTGGTAAGATATTGAATGAAGTTTTGAAAGAAAAAGAAACCATGAGTGTTGAAAAAGAGAGTGATAAAGAAGAGGAGCAAGTGCCTAAAGAGAATTCTAGTTATCAAAACCTCACTTCCTCTACAGTAAAACCTTATGTACCCCCCATTCCATATCCACAAAGGCTACAAAAGAGGAACCATGACAATAACTTTAAAAGACTTTTAGAGGTTTTTAAAAAATTGCAGATTAATATTCCTTTTGCAGAAGCATTTGCTAATATGCCATCTTATGCCAAGTACATTAAGGAAATTGTGTCTAATAAAAAGAAACTGGAAGAGTTTGCTACTGTGCACTTAAATGAGGAGTGTAGTGCTATTCTACAAAGCAAATTACCTCCTAAGCTAATGGATCCAGGAAGTTTTTCTATCCCTTGCACTATTGGTAATACTGTTGTTGATAAATGCTTATGTGATCTAGGTGTCAGTATTAACCTTATGCCTTTAACTCTTTTCAAGAAGTTGGAAATAGCTGAAATGAAGCCAACAACAATATCTCTTCAACTTGCTAATAGATCAGTCAAGTACCTGCTTGGAGTAGTGGAGGATATCTTGGTAAAAGTTGGTAAATTTTATTTTCCTGCTGATTTTCTTATTCTTGATATGGGTAGTGATACAGCTACATCTCTTATACTTGGTAGACCATTTTTGTTAACAGGAGGTGTAATAATAGACATGCCTTTAGGGAAATTGATTTTTAAAGTAGGAACAGAAAAAGAGGAATTTTCTATCTCTAAAGCTGTAACGTTCCCATCTTTTGATGAATCATGTCTTGTTATTGATGTTATTGATGACCTTGCAAAAGAAACATTTGTTAAGCATTCATTCAGTGAGTCGTTGGAAGCATGTCTTGCACTTAGTATAAAAATGGAAGAGAAAGAATCTGATTTTGTTGAGTCTTTGATGAGGTTAGAAGGTCAGGGTTATTTGCCTACACATCTTAGTAGGAAATATGAAGATTTAGGTAGGGGAAACCATTTTCCACTCCCTTCTAATGAAACATCACCTCAACTTGAACTTAAACCACTTCCATCACATTTGAAATATGTTTTCTTGGGTGTAAATGATACTTTTCTTGTGATTGTTTATGCTGATTTGCTTCCTGCAGAAGAAGAAAAACTAATGAGAATATTGAGGCAATTTAAGATTGCCTTAGGGTGGTCTATTGCTGATGTTAAGGGGATTAGTCCCTCAATTTGTATGCATCAGATATTGATGGAAGAAAATCATACCCCAAGGGTGGAAAGTCAAAGGTGCCTTAATCCTAACATGAAAGAAGTGGTACGTATTGAAATTCACAAGCTTCTTGATGCAGGTATTATCTATCCCATTTATGATAGTGCATGGGTTAGTCCTGTACAGGTTGTTCCTAAAAAGGGTGGTATCACTGTTGTTCAAAATGATAAAGGTGAGTTGATTCCCACTAGAATTGTCACAGGTTGGAGAGTATGTATAGACTATAGGAAACTAAATGCAGCTACCCGTAAAGACCATTTTCCTTTACCTTTTGTTGACCAGATGTTAGAACGGTAGCTGGTTATGCATACTATTGTTTTTTAGATGGTTATTCAAGTTATTTTCAAATTCCCATTGCCCCTGAGGACCAGGAAAAAACTACATTTATTTGTCCATATGGTACTTTTGCATATAGAAGGATGCCATTTGGTTTGTGCAATGCACCTGCTACATTTCAACGATGTATGATGGCAATCTTTTCTGATATGGTTGAGGATATAATTGAGATTTTTATGGGTGATAATAATAATAATAATAATAATAATAATAATGATGTTAATGGACCAAGCCTAATTGAATTGGCAAAATTGGGTTTTTGTTTGGTGTTTCAATTCAAATTGAGCAAATTATATCATGCACCATCAGTCATGCACCGCACGTCCTTTTTTTAAATGAAAAGAAACAGTGTTTGGTTTCCGTCGTTTTGCACCT